CTTTCCTGGCCCCATCCCCGCCTCTTCGACCTGTTTGTTTCCTCTCCACCTATCCTCTCCTCTATCCCTCTTCTATCCGCCTCCCACTCTCTCCCTATTTATTTCAAAACCCCCTTCCCTTGGCCCCATCCCCGCCTCTTCGACCTGTTTGTTTCCTCTCCACCTATCCTCTCCTCTATCCCTCTTCTATCCGCCTCCCACTCTCTCCCTATTTATTTCAAAACCCCCTTCCCCTCCCCCTTTTCTGATGAAGGGTCTAGGCCCGAAACGTCAGCCTCTCTGCTCCTATGATGCTGCTTGGCCTGCTGTGTTCATCCAGCCCTGCACCTTGTTGTCTTCAATCTATTTAGCTTGCTTTATATTGTGAAAATATTTATTTTGCACTTTTATCATTTGGGAATTCGAATTTCGAAAATAGAGGCAGATGGAATTGCGTTTCAGTTCTGTTTTTTTTTGGAGAGGTCAGAGTTATTTGCAGAAATGACCTAAATAGAATTTCTAAGGAAGCATGTGGCTTAGTAAGTGCCAAGCCAGATACCAGTGGTGTTAGTTGATGAGGTGTTTACATTGCTAAGTTTATGACATGCAGAAAAACAAATGATCAGGAATCACTGGTGCTTAGGTTTGAGTTCAGTTCAGGAGTATCAGATTTCAGTTTCATCTCAGCAGAATGATTTTTATTTTGTGAAGTCTCCAAGCTGTCAGAGTTTGTCTAACAGTTTCAAGCTGTTGAATCTGGAGGGAAACCCTGAGGCCATCGGAACTGGAGAGAGTAAGTTAAGTAAGAAATTAGTTAAGATGGGAGTGATACTAAACTATGAGTATCTGTAAATAATAGCTGGGAAATTTTGAAACTTTGTTTTGCTGTTTATATTAAAATTTTTCTAAATTGTTGTATAGCTTTTTTATTTTAATAAGCTTGAGTTCTTGTAGTAAAAGAACCTTAACAGCTTTACATGAATATGTTCAGTGCCTGACTGCCGTGGTAAGCTACTGTAAAAATAAACCTTTTGATCTTTCAAGCCAAATTTCATATTTAGATCTGACACATCCAGTATAGCTATCAGCTGGGATCATAGCAATATGTTGATATAGTATTTTTGGATTTAATTTAATTGCTAACCTTTTCATATATTTTGCCCTTTTTTCCCCCTTATACTGACAATATCCGTGGAATAGAATTTCCATAGAATCCTTACAGTGGGGAATCAGGCAATTTGGCCCAACGGGTTCACACTGAGCCTCCGAAGAACATCTCAGCCAGTCCCATCCCATCCCATCCCATCCCTGTAATCCTTCATTTTCCATGGCTAACCCACCTATACCACTGAACACTATGGGCAATTTAACATGACCAATCCACCTAACTTGCATGTCTTTGGACTGTGGGAGGAAACTGGAGCCCCCAGCGGAAACCCCCACGGACGGGGGAGAACGTGCAACCTCCACATAGTCGCCCAAAGGTGGAATCGAACCTGGGTCCCTGGTGCTGTGAAGCAGCAGCGCTAACCACTGAGCCATCATGTTGCCTTTTTTAAATTTAATCTCCTAGCTGACATTTGTTCAAACTTTTCCCTTTAACCATTATTTCTTTTATCATTCAGGCAGCAATAGCTTTGGATGTCCCATCTTTCATCTTTGTAGGAAGATGTAGACGTAAAATAGCTCTGCTGTGAAGGCTCAGTTGCATTTTGCCTGGCCAACTTGTTTTCATTTACCCTTAAATTGCTAAAATTGTCTCACTTCCCATTAGATATTTTCTCATGATTTTTCATGAAATTACGTAATGTGTTATGCACTGTTTTTCAAAACAGCATATCGTCCAGTTTACAGTGAGTAATGCCACAAAAGAGCTAGTTTATTGCAATCATCACATTCCAAATATTGTACTTTTATAAAACATCAAGGAATCACAATTGGCACAAGACTTGAAAACGAAATGCAAGACAAAGCAGGAGTTAGTTTCTGCTGTTCCCTCCTACAATGGGGGGGAATAACCTTGCCAAAAGAAGGCAGACTACGTCAGTCTACAGAAACTGTCAAAATAAATGATAACCATTTCCAAGTTCAGACTTTGACAATATTTCCACAGGGAGTACTGGACCTGAGCAGTAGCCTTTGAAAGAGAAGCTGGGTTGCAGGATAAATATTGCACATTCTGGCACCAAATGCCATGAAACACAAAAGCAAAATAAGTGATATTTGATCACTTTGAAAAATAATTCGTCCATCAAATGAGGAATATACCTGTTCAATACTTTCAGTAGCTTGTCACATAATGCTTTCTCTCTTTAACAGGAACCCGAATGAAGACAAGTACAAATCAATTAAGATTGGGAATCAAACCTTTTCAAACAGACTGCTTCCTGTTAAGGGAGCTGTTGAGTGTCTCTTTGAAATGGGATTTCAAGAGGTGCGGTAATACTTTTTCTTAAAATTAAAGCTAATAATTTCCTAAATAAATTGGTATTATTAGGGATGCAATACACTAATCTAGCAGGAATAGGTTAAGATGATGTAAATGAGATGTGGAATATGTTAAACTTTTCTTCAGGATCTAGGCTGGCAAGCCATTGTAGTTGCCGCCAATATGCAGGCTTGAGATAGCAAAAGAGTCTCACGAGACCTAAAGTGAGATAGAGAACTCAGACTGGTATCCAGGAGAGTGCACACCCTGGAAAGTCTACTTACATCTGGTTTGGAACAGTTAAACTGTTTAGCAACATCCAATTCGGAGCCAATCACAATAAACGTCTGGTTAAATGGTCACCTGGTTCTAATGGAGGGTGGTATAGGCGCAGCTGTTTCAGTGAT